CTAAGCACAGTGTCCCTCTCTCCAATGAGAGCGCAGGCATCCCTATAAGCTCCTCTGTGTCATCTCCTTGGAATTTGGAGGGGGGAGCAGTCGTGGGAAGTTGATGCGATCAAATGTGAAGTTCATGCTGCCTCTGTGCCGTGAGTAACAAAGCCCTTTGTCTCTGACTCAAGAGTCTTGTATCTTTTGCCAATGTCTGTGTCCCAGTTAGCAGGCTAGACTATTAGCCTGAAAGTAGAGGAAAATCTCAGACCATTCACAGTTCCTAACAGCTCCATTCCCAGCACTTAGAACAGTACCCAGCAAAGAGGGGTCATTCAATTTGTTAAATAAATTCCTTACTTAAAAAATATTTAAATTTGGCTTACCTTACTATTAACCTCACTTATGAATACTAAATTAGTCAACATATACTTTCGAAATCACATGGCATGTTATGTCTTACTGAACAAGTGTGTGGTTGGTATTCACTGTTCAAACTTAAATAAAATGAAGTTAAGGGAAATGCCTCTCATCTCTGAATACTTATCAAATCATATATTAGTCAGTTACCAAGCAATATCTGAAAAAAGCATCAAAATCATAATTGCACAAGATTACATAAAGTTTTTAATTCATTTGTTTAATTTCAAAAATAGTCATTTTATGAAAATAGTGAATACCAAGAATATGAACAAAAAAGGTCTTTCATCCTTAAATTTTCAGTGTGCCCAGACCAGGATCCAACTCAAAAGCTATTTTAAAATAAGCAATTCTGCCCTTCTCCCTAAAGAAGGCATTGATCCCAGGCCCTCTGAGTTCCTCTAAGACATCAGGGATAATCCTCTCACTTGTGTCTATAATTAGTTTATTAATAACACAAAACACCTCTGAAGAGTGTTCCCTTTCAATAGAATCCTCTTTTATTTATATGCTACAGAATTACACAGTTTAGACTTGAGCTAACATTTGCAGGACAGGTGCTGGGCACCAGTGGGAGTGCTGTGTACTTTCACATAAACAGAGATGCATAATCTCTTAGCAACATGTGGCCAGTGTTAAGTCTCTGTAACTGGTTCATTGTTTTTTTTTCTTGATATGTTGCAATCCTTTTTTGCATGAGGGCTCCACACCTTTCTAAATACTTGGTAATTTATGGGAAGGCAGCCTTTTTTTTTTTTTTCTTCCTGGTGAGAGGTTGTAGAATTTGTTTCAGCTGAAAACATCCCTTTCATTTCACATCCTCTGACACCGTAAGCTGCCGTCAGGAGTGCAGGGAAGACTGGAACAAACTTCCCTGAGCAAAACGGATCATCAGTGTTTAATCCAAACCTTTAAGATCAGCGATTGCCTCGAAATGATCTTCCTAAATAATCCTCTCTAGATGCCTAAAACTATTTTGAAGATGAAAAGCACTTTTCTAGAAGGAGAGAATAAGATGGGATCCTGAAGATAACCTTATTACACTTTTTCACCACCACTCAATCTCCAAACAATTCACTCCCAGAGGATTCTGGAGCTTGGGGATTTGAACTAATGTGGCCATTAAAATCTTATCTTTATAAGTGAATGTCAAAGAAATCATTTAGATTATTCCGATCATTATCTTGGGCTGAAAAAAATAATTCCCTCTGGAGAAAAGAAATGTGACTTTCCTAGCAGTTGTTGCACCTAGGAACAATGCAAGACTTAATAAAATGTGTGTTTCCTACATCCTCACATAACCGGTATAACGAACAATGGTGCAGATTTGCTTCACTTAATCTCTGAACCTGAGTTCATTATTATTATTAATTCAGAATATAGGGGAACAGGTGTTTTGTTTACATACTTTGTTTTTGTAGAGATTGAGTCAAAGTTAGAAGTGTGCCCTTTGCCTGGATAGTGTGCACTGGGATGTGAATTTACCCGTCCCTTCCTCTCTCCTCACCCCAGCTTGATTTTCACTGAGATTTACTTCCCTATGTGCACTGAAGTGTTGGTTGATCAATTCCAATTTAACACTGAGCACATGTGTGTTTACTTCTCCATGCCTGTGATGCTTTACTCAGAAGGATGGCAAAAACAAATTTTAAAGATGATCAATCTTGGCTCAGCGCCCGTAGCACAGTGGTTATGGTGCCAGCCCCATACACCAAGGCTGGTAGGTTCAAACCTGGCCCAGGCCGGCTAAACAACAATGACAACTACAACAAGAAATAGCCAGGTGTTGTAGCGGGTACCTGTAGTCCTAGCTACTGAGACATGAGAATCGCTTAAGCCCAAGAGTTTGAGGTTGCTGTGAGCTGTGACACCATGGCACTCTACCAAGGGTGACATAGTGAGACTCTGTCCTCCCCCCACAAAAAAAGATCAATCTTCTTACAACAGGAAAATAAAATTGTATTTCTTTTGTCCTCACCTTTTAAGCATTTTATACCATTGCTAGTCATACCCACTTTCTTGAGTATTCTTTCTACATTTACTGTATGTTGCAATCATCCCTTTACTGGTCTGTCACCACTGCTGAAGACTGAAGATCCTTAAAAGTAGAGACTATTTCATATTATTTAAGTATATTTATATAAGCACGGCTAGCTAAATGTTTGGGAAATTGTGAATTATTAATAAATATTGGGTGAATAAATAAATTAATATCCCCCTATGTTCAATCCTTAACTTAGCTTCCCTATATATTCAGTCCTCAACTTAGAGAGCTATTTTACCTCTAAGCCAGGGGTCCTCAAACTTTTTAAGCAGGGGGCCAGTTCACTGTCCCTCAGACTGTTGGAGGGCTGGACTGCGGGCCCCAGGGTGAGTCAGCTGCTAAGCAGGACAGGCAGTGGTGGCAAAAACACCCGGCAGGCCGGATAAATGTCCTAGGCAGGCGGCATGTGGCCTGCGGGCCGTAGTTTGAGGACGGCTGCTCTAAGCACATTTTTATCCACTCCCTCTTGATCTTGGGTCTTTAGTCCCCAACTGATTGCTGGATAACTCTCTCCAGATGGTCTTGGCGTTCTCAATCTCAACAGGTGTGAGGCAATATGAACAGGAGGAAAGCAATCAGGTCTCTGATCTTAAGAAGCCAACAGACTAGAAAGGGAAATGAACACTTTCAACAGGCAGCATGATGAGCGTAATAAAAGAAGTACAATCTCAGGGCTGTAAATTCTGAGTTTACACTCAGTAATTCTTTAGGAAACAGAAAACTTTCATCTAGAGCTAGGCATGAACTTCAGAAAATTCTCTTTGCTCCATGTTCATGCCTAAATCATCCACTGGTTCTTCACCTTTGGCCTCGATGCCCTGTTTATATCCATAATTGTGGCCCTGATTCTTAGATCCTGACCTACTTTCAACTTGGTTCATCTGTGGCTCCAACCTCTAGACTCTAACGTGCTCCTCCCAGACTTGGCCATCCTCCCCGTACCCCATGCTCCATCCACCTTGGGCTGCTTCCAAGTCTGTAAGATACTTGTAAATATTTCCTGAAACTCATATTTCAGGAAATATTAAAAAAAAATTTTTTTTGAAACAGTTTCACTATGTCACCCTCAGTAGAGTGACATGGAGCTATGGTGTCACAGCTCACAGCAACCTCAAACTCTTGGGTTTAAGCGATTCTCTTGCCTCCTGAGTAGCTGGGACTACAGGTGCCTACCACAACGCCTGGCTATTTTTGTTGCTGTTGTTGTTGCAGTTGTCATTGTTTAGCTGGGCCAGGCTGGGTTCGAACTCACCAGCCTCAGGGTATATGACTGGCACCATAACCACTGAGCTACGGGTGCCGAGCCAGGTTGGGTCTAATTTGAATAGGTCAAAAAAGGAGGAAAATTAAGGTAAAAGGGCTAATACAGGCAAAGATGCCAGAGAAACCCTAAGCACATATTTCCAAAAGAGTGGATCCAGTGGCTTGGTGTGCTTTGTTTGGTTTCCAGCTTCCAGATCTACTCACAAGTAGACCCATTTCATGCACCTTATCCCCAGACTCAAGGACTAATTCTGATATTAGGAAAAAAGGAATAATATTGTGCCAGAAACAGGGAGCATGGAGGTTGGGGAAGGACATACCTCTACCGTAAAACAAGCAGGAAGTAGTCTGAGAGGACGACAGAGCTGCACAAAGGCGATTGGGCATGTTGGTGGCGTACAGAAAAGGATTCCCCGTTTGTCAGCCTGAGGCAAGCAATCAAGGGGTGATGAGTTACAGAATAACAGGAGGAGCACCCACACCAGGTAAAAGCTATTCTCCTAGCTAGCCTGACATCCTTTCTCTTCCCAGGCAGTATCAGAGAGACTCAGGAACTACCGGCATCAGCTCATGGGCACTGCGAGTGGGGCAGTAGTCTCTGCCAGGAGCCTGCAGACTGGAGCAGGGCTGTTCCTTATGACAAATGCCTCAGCTCCCCATGTCCATGATTGCCCTGAAGCCACTGCTGCTAGCAACTGCCTCTTCTTCTAATCTCTCTTCCTTCTGAGGCTGCTGGACCACCTGATTACACCCATGATGCTCTGGTTTGTGTAGTCTTTTGCTACCCAGCCTGGGCTATATCAACCCAACTGTGTGTTACTGATAGGAACACATGGGGTGGAGGAATATTGTAGCATTGTAGAGAGAAAAATAAAATAGTTCTTGGATCAGATGGAATTTCCTCCCATGCTTTGAAAAATGATAGTGATGATGAGGGGATACATTTCAAAAGGGCAGAGAAGGTTAAGGAGATATTTCCAAGTTTGAATGAAAATGTCGACTACAGAATAATAAAGTGTGTTTGGGAGTTATACAGGAGAACTATTTAGCCCAGGATAGAAGTTCACACAAGGAACTAATGACATTATGTTTCTTTTAAAAAAATTTTACAACACAAACATAAACAGTAGCCTTTAACAAAGTTGGAGTACGTTTTCTTTTCTTCCTTATAGAACGAGAGTTGAAAGTTGTCTTCAACATGAATTGCGAATGTTTTTCTTCTTCATATAGTCTCCACAGAGAATGGAATTCACACTTCTAACTTGAGTAGGCAGAGGAAAGACACGTTACAGGGCTCACTTCGGCAGCACATATACTAAATGGGAAGGAGACAGAGGAGATGGGCACGGCCCCTGTGCAAGGATGACACGCAAATTCATGAATCCTTCCATATTTTTCCTGAATGGAGTTGAAGAAACAGTCTCCTTAGTAAAGTATCACAAGTATGGAAAAGCAAGTAACCGATGTACTCAATAATCATATGAAACCAGTAGATGAATAACTATACACTCACACGAGAGAAAAAACACAAGTTTAAAAGGGGGGGAAGGGAAGAGAGAAAGGGACTGGTAAGTTCTCACCTAATGGGCACAGTATAAAAGTACATGACGCACCTCCTGGTGTGGGGTTGGACTTTACCTAGCAAGTGAAACAATGAGTAGTTTGTACCTTTATATTAATCTGAAATAAAAAGAAAAAAGACATCTATTATAGTAATTCAAGATTCTCCAAGCACAGTTAACATCTTTGCTTTGGGAGCCAGCAGGGTAGTCTTAAGTAGGAACAGAGGCAGTCCATATGGAGCCTTTATGAGCAAGAGGGAAAAATACCTCTTTACTCAAACATATGATGGCTCAGGCAGGGATACGAATTGGTAAGCTAAGTGTGAGCTGAATTTGAACACACTTGACCTTAGTCAGGTGCCCTTGGGCAGTGTACAACTTTCACCAAAAAACCTGGACGCCCTCAGGTGTAGGAGGTCTAGGTATATTTAAAGTGTGGCTCAGCACCTGTAGCTCAGTGGTTAGGGTGCTGGCCACATAACTGGGGCTGGCATGTTTGAACCAGCCAGGGCTTGCTAAAAAACAATAACAACAACAACAACAAAATAGCTGGGGGTTGCGGCAGGCACAGGTAGGGAGGCTGAGGCGAACCACTTAAGCCCAAGAGTTTGAGGTTGCTGTGAGGGTGACATAGTGAGACTCTGTCTCAAAAAAACAATAATAATAATAATAAAGTGAATATTAGAGGCCCCATCCCTCTCTCTTTTCTGACATGAGAATAGACAGGATTCAAATGACACTTACTCTGGGTTTTTTGTACAGTGAGATATAAGCCTGGATTTCCTACCCCCGTGTCTATTTTTCTGTCACCTGCAGATTGCATTACTTCTAGCCTTGAGTGTTTAAAAGAGAAGATCAAACCCATTTATTTAATGTCACAATCAATATTGATCCCAGGGCTATCTACAGACTAGATTCTCCGAAGGCAGCACTCACTGTGGCTTTCAGGAGCTCAGAGAGAATTTACGAGCACAATATATTTTTTTTTAAGTTAGAAAGAAAATGCATTCAAGATGTACTAAAATAACTGGAAAAAAAAAGTGTAGTGTCCTACTTCATGCACACAAGATGAGCTTGTATTTACTAGACAAAGAATGGATAGCTAGAAGACGCTGAATTTCAGCTTATGAGAATTTCAATCTTTCGACTCACTCTAATAGCTCGTTGCAGAAAATTGGTTCGTGAGAGATTTTGAAAAATAATAAGGTCATAGATGATTGAATTATGTTAATAACATTCAATTACTAGGTTTCTCAACTAATAATATTGCCTTCTATGATTTAATGCAATTTATAAATAGGCACTGAAGATACATTCTCCCATTCCATATAGAGAAATATAACTTTATAGATAAGTTATGACATTACAATGTGGCAATGTATAAACCATGCTTTTTATTCATAGAGCTATTATAGGGAATCAAAGGAAGTGTGGGCCAAATGTACTTTTTCAGTACACATAATTGTGAGACAAGATACAGCATCTTATACTTTGTCATGTCTGTTAATTAGATGGGAAATTAATATCCTGTTTTGTTGTATCTCATTTGCAATTCCATATAAGTTAGCCACAATTTTTTAAAGGTTATAAAATACTGAAATAATTCACGTTAAGATTTTCTGTTTAAAACAAACAAAAGCTAGAAAACTGGATCCTCTGTTGGTGCCTGGCACTTCGATCACACTTTACATCTTGGCATCTTGTTTTTTATATGCTTCAAATGGGTTTTTTGTTTGTTTGTTTTGAGTTTTTGTTTTTTTTTTTGAGATAAAGTCTCATTCTTGTCACTTTAGGTAGAGTGCCATGATATTATCATCACAGCTCACAGCAACCTCCAACTTGTGGGCTCAAGAAATCCTCTTGCCTCAGCCTCCCAAGTAGCTGGGACTATAGGCTCCTGTCATAACACCCAGCTCATTTTTCTTTTTGTAGTAGAGATAGGGTTTCTCTTGCTCATGCTGGTCTCTAACTCCTAAGCTCAAGCCATCCACCTGCCTCAGCCTCACAGAGTGCTAGGATTACAGGGATGAGCCACCATGCCCAGCCTTTCCAAATGGACATTTTAACCCCCTTTGCCCTACTGGACAAAATGAGAACAATGATAGCCTCAAAAGGATTAGACTGAGTAAACGCTTTACAACTCTCTCCCTAACACAAATCATTTTGGCCACCTCACTGTCTTATGAACAGGGTAGGATCAGTCCTAAAAGCAAAATTATGTTCCCATCCTCTACCTCTCCCAATACCACCTATAACCCAAACCTATCTCAAGCCTTTCTAACAAGCCCTCCCCAACCTATCTTTCCTCTTTCGAGTTTCCATATCTCTTATATCTTTGTAGTGGTTTAACTAATTCTGATGCAATCCCATGGTATCTTGTAATATGTCTGACTAATATGTATGAGCCCTGTTCCCCTAGCAACACTGTAAGCCCCAGAATAGGAAATGAGGCTTATCTCATTTTTGTTTCTGTATAGAGCTTGATATAGCACAAAGCTGGTGCTACTGAACTTAACTCAGTAAATTTGAGTTGATTTCCCTCCAACCTGCAGATCGTGTAAATTCCTGGGATGTTGCTCCTCTCTTAGCACTACAAACTATATACATACAAGGTCTGACAATTAAGTTCACAAATTCATCCTAGAAAAAGTGCTACATACCTCATCGCTGAATATCACTATGGTCACCTTTGAAATACTACCCTTGCGACACTATGCACTGACACCAGCACCTAGCCCATCCTTCAAAGCAAATTTGGGATTCTTTTTCTGGAGTGGCCAAAACTGTCATCATACTACTCTTGATGTCCTGACTGTCATAAAAATGTGTTTCTCTTCAATATTTCTTTTATGTTAAGGTAAAGAAAAAATTCACTGTGGGCTAGATCAGGTGAGTAGGGAGGTTGTTCCAACACAGTTATTTGTTTACTGGCTACAAACTTCCTCCCAGACAGTGCTGCGTGAGATCGTGCACTGTCATGATGCAAGAGCCACGAGTTGTTGGCCAAGATTCTCAGTTAAGACCTTGTTCACTGTTTCTCTATTGATGTTTCCTTGGTCTGCTGTGCTTCTTCTGGTCAGCCAACAATTTTGATTGCACAGTTTGTGCAATGTTTTCATCTGTTCTTCTCATACTGGCCTCCCTGAGCTCTCTTCCTCAGTGATGCTTTCTCTCCCCTCAGAAAAACATCTAATCCATTTGTATATTGACATTTTCTTCATGGCATCAGCCCCATAAACTTGGACAACATGTCCCTGATTTCAGTTCCACTCTTGCCAAGTTTAACAAGGAATTTATGAATGTTTTGTTGTTGCCCTAATTCGAGCTCCAGCGTTCACGCAATGGCACACCAAAGCACACAACAATAATGAACACCACTCAGCAAGACACCACACACATCAACATGAACACATCTGAGAGGCACAAATACACTATGGTTATGAAACCTTACTGAGTGGTGTGTACAGTGCTGCCAACGTAAGTGGTCAGTGGTAAGTTCGCGAACTTAATTGTCAGACCATATATGTGTATATATATATATACACACACACACACAGTATAACCTCTGTGAGTTCACCACCCAAGGAACTATAACGAACTAGTGGTCAACATACGGAGATGGTCAACATAAGGAGCTAGGCTTACTGTGCTGATACGTACATAGGTGCATGTCCAGTCTATGAAAAAGGAAAATTTAAAGAGGTGGTGAATGTAGGGAGCTGGTCAACTATGGAGGTGGTGAATGTAGGGAGCGGGTCAACTATGGAGGTTCAACTATATATATATATAAACATACACACACACACAGAGACACACATATATATACAAACACACACACATACACATGCATATACAAAGGGAGAGAGGGAGAAAGAGCTATCCTTCAACTCTAACTCAGCTAAGGAGTAAGACACATATAATTCAAATACATTAAAGGAAATTTACATTGTTTCCTTCTCTTCAAGAGACTTCTAGAGACTTCTAGAAATTAAAAGTGTTTGAGAAAGTCTGGTCAACATCATGATGTGTGAATGTAGAATAAATGTGAACTACTTCACCAAATCCATGAAGAGAAGCAAGCAGAAACTCTTAAAGTTGAAAAGACTGGATACGATACCCTAAAATCCTCAAATCAAGAAAAATACTATCCGGAATAAACCTGGAAGACATTGTGCTGCTCGTAGGGGTACAAATATTGTGTGACACTGCTTGGGTGAGGTATCTAAAATAATCAAACTCACAGAAGCAAAGAAAAGAACGATGGTTGCCAGGGGCAGGCAGAAGGGGAAATAGGAGTTGTTGCTTAAAGAGCACAAAGTTTCAGGTATGTGAGATGATAAGTTCTAAAGTTGTCTTGTATAACATAGTGTCTACACTGAACAATATCGTATTGTGCACTTAAAAAATTAAGAGAGTAGAAGTCACGTTAAGTGTTCTTATTACACATATGCGTACACACACACACATACAAAGAAACTTTTGGAAGTGATGAAGATGTTTTTACTTTGATTGTGGTGATGGTATCAAGTATATGTATGTATGTCTGATTTCATCAAAGTGTATACATTAAACATGCAAGGTTTTCCAAACATAAATTATTCCTTAACAGAAGTGTTAAAATACATATAGTATAAAAATTAAAAATATATAAATATGCAAAGTTTTAAGAATAAATTTAGGGAAATTCATGAATGAATGATGCAATATAAGCCATCAAGAGGAAAATAAGGAATAGCAAAAAAATGCCTAATGTTAGGCCAGGCATGGTAGCTCATGCCTATAATCCCGGTACTCAGGGGGGCTGAAGGGGGTGGATGGCCTGAGCTCACAAGAGA